ATCTAAAGACACATTATTCTGCAACTACAATGAAGCTATATGTAATAAGTTATGTATCTATTCTCTTAAATTTCAAAGATTATTACATCCTAAGGTGTCCCCTGCCTGAGTTATTCTTAAAGTATATGAGTGAGGAACAGAAGCCTGGACATACTAGCAGGACCTGGCCATTTAAGCATTTCTAAGAGTCAGGAGTGAGGCTCCACATCATCATTATTATTATTAGTAGTAGTAGTAGATATTATAAAAAGTAAAAGTCAACTAAAAACATATGGACAGTGTTCTGCAATGTCTTCTGTTTGGGTCTTGTGGTTTCTTAATGGTATGTTCATGGCTACTCTGATTGCATCCATACATCTTGCTGATTTTCCTCCTGTTCCTCATTTACCTTTCGCTGCTCCAGTCATAATTGTCTTTTCCAATGAACTGGTTCTTCTGAGGACATGTCCAAAATAAGAGAGCTTCAGTTTAGTTATCTGGGCTTTGAGTGAGATGTGAGGCTCGATGTGGTTGAGGATCCATTGCCGTCCGAGGTACTCTCAAAAAACTTTTCTAAAGCATCGCTATTTTTCCTGTCAGACTTTTTATTGCCCACAGAACCACAGAAAAAAACAACAACAACAACAAAAAAAAACAAACAAAAAAATAGACTGGACAATTCTGGCCCCACTTGCAGACCCTTATAGTTTAAGGGGTTAATTCAGGTCTGGTGAGTTCACTGAAATCTCCTATATCCATCACTTTGACAGGATGCAGCTAAGAGTAAAGCTGTGTGAGGCTATTGCTGGGGGTTATGTGGTGGCAGGTGGGGAACACAAGGCTTGGCTAAAGCTTCGTCACAGCTGAGCTCTCCTGCCAACTCCTGCTGTTTCATCCCACTCACACTATGGGCTTGCTGCCTTGGCATGGGAGCTTTAGTGCTCCTGTGGTCTAAGATTAGTCTCAAACACTTCTCAGACATGGTAGAGCTTTACTGTCAGCAATATTTTATGAAAATAATCACAGATCATTCAAAAATGTTATGAATACACTGAACAAATATTCCAGCGATACTGATCCCTTTTAATGTTTTGGAAAATGCACAGAAAAGAACCAAACATAGAGATCTGAGATTCAGCATATGCATTATTTATCGGTGGTGTTGCCATTAATTCAACTTCAAATAGCTTTAATTCAGCAAAGGGCTAGATTAAATAACTCAGCTTTTAAGTAGCTTTTGCATTAAATAACAGCTTTAAGTAAAGCCCTGGCCTCACACACAATGATATAAGTTTCTTGTGATTCTGCAGAGAATATTGATGCATTACCCCTTTATTTTAAACAATTTGAAATACGATGAAGTCTAAATTCCTCCTTTCCTTTGATGGTTTCATCTCCTTTCATGAAGATGCAAAGGTGAAAACAACAAAACAAGGACAGCCATTACTGCATTCGAGTTAATGGGCTTAGAAAATGTCAATACTCCTTGGCAAGAGGATACCACCCCACTGCAGAATGTATAAACAGCTGATGAAAATTCACTGAGGACCGATCACTAATAGTAACAGGCCGTAGGGGGCAATGTGTCAAAGACGAATTTTGACTCAAGAATCAACTTCATGCACAGCCCTGCTGCATCCTATATTAACTTTGTTCTCTTATATTCGCTGTGCTCTGAAAAATAAAGCTGCCAAAACATGTTATATATAGAGAGCGAGACGAGCTACTTTTGGCTCTCTATGTTACTTTTCAGTGGTTGGTTCTTGTGATTTGTGAATGTGGAGAACTTTTTAAAGTTGATATTACCTACATAATGTGAAGGTTTAAATAAAAGGTTTTTCCTAGAACTGTACAGTCATGTGCCAAAGTTTGAACAACCCCCCAGCCAAATTATGTTTCGTTGTTATTCTTATCGATGTTTATTTTGACTAGGAAGTATATTGAGGTTGACCCTCATTTACAATGTAGCAGAGCAAGTTAAACAGGGGTTGAAAAAATTATAGAAAATTGAATCAATCTAAACAAATCAAAATCAGCAAGAGAAAATCAACAAAAAAAATTAATAAACTGGTTGCCATCATCATCTGATTTAATGATCAGTCAAATTGGATCAGCATAAATCTGTGAGCAGAGTGATGGATTGAATCTAGTGGTTTAAGGTTATTGGTCTATAGCCAATGCGTCAAACACAAGGCCCACCGGCCAAGTCAGACCTGTAGCGCAATCCTGCCTGGCCAACGAAATTATTTTCATTTTCTATTAATATTAGCACATTTCACAGTGTGCTGCACTACAGTCCCCAACAAGCACTGCAAGGTGAAGTGCACTGCACCCTCCCCCCAACAGCAAACTATGGGACAGTGGTTACACCTCAATCCTGCCACACCAGTCACCATCACCAGACACACTAGTTGTGTTTCAGCAGCAGTCCAACCAGTATAAACACTAAAAAACACCTAGTTCGCTAAAAGTGAGAAGTGGACAGTGAACGCTAGGGATTTCAAGACAAGTGAGAGCTTAAATGCCTTTTACTTCCAATATCTGTCTTGTTTGCAGAGATGGTGTGGCCGTAATAAAGGAATATCACATTAAGTACCATTATAAAGCAAAACACCAGAGAGTTGGATGGACAGCAGCAGCATCAGAAAAGTGGTGGAGATGAAGAAGGTCATTCTCTGGCCCACGGATTTGTTGAAATTTTTTAATATGGCACCTTCAGCAGTTGAGTTTGACACCCCTGCTCTATAGATTACATCACTGTAGTCTAGGATGGATAATAATGTTGTCTCCATGATCATCTTCCTAGTATGCATTGGGAAACACATCATATTTCAGTATAAGTATGCAAGCTTTTGCCTACAATTACTGCTTATTAATGTGATATGTAAATGTCAATATATCATCCAACCATATGACAAGGTACTTATATTCTGTGACTCTCTTAACCCTTGTGTGGTGTTTGTGTTTTTGTTACTCAGTGGTCTGTTGACCCACCGCATTATTATTATTGTTTTTTCAATGCAGCCATAACAATTTACAGCTGTAGCCAGTCAGCAAGCCTGTCCATGTTCGCTACCCTCACACATGTACACACACAGACGCACACACACTCTAACAGCAGGCCGTGTAAGAGGACAGACTAACAGAGTGAAGGGACACAGCACCTCCACACTTTTATTCCCTGCGAGTTCACCCCAACACCACATGTGTAATATAAATGTGTGGGGGGTGAACAGTGTGAAGACACTGAAAATGTGTTATTTTATATGTTCTTCACAGAAAATGAGCAAAGAACAAGAAATCAGGGGATGAAATAATAATAAATTAAATTTTTCTTTCAGTAAACATTGAAAAAGGGTCCCACAGACCCCAACACCACACAAGGGTTAATACTGGATCCAATCAAGATATTAATGTTCACAGTGTTAAAATCAGTATTGAGGGCTCTGGAAAATCGCATGAATTTAGATTTCTTTGCATTTAAAACCAGCTTATGCTTGTACAGAGCAATCTGTAAGGCATTTAAGGAACAATTAAGTTTTCCTACTGCTGCATGAACTGAGTCTGAACAATACAGAATAGAGCCAGCCACATACAAGCGCACTATTAAGTAAAAATAAAGGACCACATACTCCACAAGGAACAAACTTAAATTTGGCACAAACTTAAATTAGATTTTAATGCACACTTTCTATTTATTTGCTGCATTTAACATATTGGAGAAAAAATAAAAAATGTGCCACCTGTGTAGTACTGTGTCCCTGTAGAGGATGTGTCTATATTTGCATATTTGTCGCACTAAGTTGTTTCAGATCTTCAGACAAAATGTAATATAAGACAAAGGCAACCTGAGTAAACACGAAACAAAATACACAAAGGGTAATTACCTTTTCTCATAAGGCCAGTCTGTGTGGTAAAACACTTTTCCCTCAATAAATGTTCATGTAAAAGGTTATCCCACACAGACTGGCCTTATGTGAAAAAGTAATTGCCCTCTTAGTTACACAATCAACCAGTGAACCAAATTAGTCAATAATTGGGATCAATTAAGCCATTTTAATTTTTTTCATCAAAATTCATTCTAATTTATTTAAAGGCTGTGACGTTGCAGAGGTCTAACACATTTGAATCCATTCACTTTGAAAAAAAATATTGATTCCAAACTTGTGAACACTAGAGTGATTACTGATAAGCAGCCTTAATATGCTGGTTAAACTGGTATTAAACTTATAATAAATTTAAATGATTGCAGTCATGAGAACAGAATCTAAAAAAGTACACATATAAATATCAGACCAAAGGTGTAAAATGATCATCTCTGTGCTCAGTTGGAAGATTTTTGGCCTTTACCCTGAGCCACCCACTAAGATTCACACTTTCGTGAGGGGCTGCACTGACACGTTTCCAACTTTGCAGCTGCTGCCTCATTTTCTGAAAAACAGCTCAAGGTGTGAAAAAACAGTCGTTGCTGGCTTTGACTGCATTTTAATCCATCTTAGTACGGGGCTCTGTGCAGCCTGGTGAGATTTCTTGTAAGCCTTACCTATTGCAGCTCTCACAGCATAAGGCGATTCCTCTTATCCCGGTTTTAATGACTGCACTGGTAATAGGGGAATCTCTGGAGACAGAGGATGGAATGATACATCAAAGTGCTCATGTTTCCTCTAGCTGGCCCTATCACAAAGCTTTCCAGCCAGTGCTTCATCTCTTTTGGTTTCATCTTTACCTCATTTTTCCTTTAAAATCTCTCCCTGTTTATATAACACAGGGACTTATTTACTGTCTGAAATTTAGAGTTGATCAAAGATAATAGCTTTAAATGCTTGCTGTTTTATTCTGATCATTTCAGCTCTCACGAATGTCACATTTCTAAGTGTTTATGGAAACTGCATGCATCACACCCACCTAACAGACATAGGTGTTCAGACCATGTCTCTGCCCACCAAAGAAACCACATCATTTTGTTCTGCGGAAATAAGCACTGCATAGTTTCCTCCAGCTTCTTTAACTCCTAGGCTCCAGCTCTGATGATCCACAGTTACAGTTACATTTACATCTGAGCAGCTGGTTTTTTGACAGACTTTTGAGAGTAGATTAACCAAGATGATGCCCAGTCAGTGCCTTTCACTTGTTTTTCTTTTCACTATTTTACAAGTAGTAGGTAAGACGGTTTGTCAGCTTATTTACTTTTTGGACCGAAACAGATTCACTAACCTGTTCGTCTCTGTAATGGCCTGTGATTCTCTTTACAGCTGGCACGGATGTCTCCATCATAGGAGGCAAGGAAGCCAAAAAGCTGAAGCCGTGGCTGGTGTCCATACAACTCAAGCACCGACATGTGTGTGGAGGAACTTTGATTCATGAGCAGTGGGTTTTGACAGCTGCGCACTGCAAAAAGTAAGTGAGCATGTACAGTTTCAGAGTACATTACTACTAATAAAATTGCACTCAATTCAAACTCAAATCACAGTCACTTTAAATTAAACAGTTTCTGCCAGTTTAAGCTGAATTATGAATGTTGTGTAAGTGCTTTTAATGGAACACAAACAAACAAGACGTATTTGTGTGCATAAGTTTGGGCACTCAATATAAAATATAAATACAATTTCTACTATTACATGACTATAAACTTCATATATATATATAAACTGCATATCTTTCAATATATATATATGGTCTGTACGTACATATAAAATATATATGTATATGATATATGTGTGCACATACAAAAACAAAACATGCATTTCATAACTTCTATAAGTTATTGATCTGCAGCCTGTATGGCCAGATTCTGAAGAAGAGCATGACAGCCAGCATCATACATCAAATACATATATCATACATCAAATTCTGAACCTGTTACAGCAGTCTTTTGCATTCATTGTTACTCTTTTTTTACGTTTTTTTTTCCTTAAAGAAATTTGTTTATTCTCTTCAGCTTTTTAAAACCTATTAAATCAGTGACGGTCCTTTTAGGGGCTCTGTCCCTGAAAAACAGCAAAAACACTCAGCGCATTAAAGTCCAAAGTTATGAGATCCCACAGAAATTCAGTGTGGAAACTAAGCAAAACGACATCATGCTGTTGAAGGTAAAACACTCGTACATGTGCTTTCTATTGAAAACAAATTATATTACACTATTTTGGCACAAAGCAAACTACCTTGCACTAAGATGAATGCATTTTTGTCAATTCTTTTGACACAGCTCCAAGAAAAGGTCCAGCTTAAAAGAAAAAACGTGAAAAGTGATTCGGCTCCCTAAATCAGGCAAGGACATCCCAACTGGAACTAAATGTGAAGTGAGTGGATGGGGAACCACTAGTGTGGAAGTTGTCAGATCATCCGATATGCTGCGAGAAGTGGAGGTTGAGGTGGTGAGCAGGGAGCTGTGCAACTGCTACTACGACAAAAAACCTTTCATCACTCAGGACATGCTGTGTGCAGGGAACAAGGAGCAGAAGAAAGACGCATGCTGGGTATGTCAGATTTCTGTCTTTGATCTACACATGACCCTTTGATCTGTGTAGAAATAAAAGACCACCGGCAACTGCAGTTACTGCAGTTTAGGCTGGTGTTACACAGCTTTGACTAGGAAACCAAAAATAATTTTTGGATGGTATCACTCCAAAGAATCCCTTTCTAACACCTTTATTTTAATAAAAAACTAAAAGTTCAATCTGTTTAACCCCTTAAAATCCCAGGCTTCTTACATTTTGATGCTTATTATTATCTAATTAGAGGGTCCTGCTGACCTGTTCTTAGGTTATCGAAGTGTGTAATAAAACTTTGGGCATACTGGTGGGCCCTTACTATTTAAGGGGTTAAATGAAGTGTGTGACCACCTTTCACTTAATTTCCTGGCAGTAAGGAACTTTTCAGCACCGGGGAAAAAAATAGAAAATGTGTGTATATATATATATATATACATATATATACTACTATATATATATATATATATATATATATTTTTTTTTAAATATATATATTTCATTGTTTTTATGTTTAGTATGTTTTGTATGACTTGCTTCCAGTTTTTCATAGAAAAAAAAATATATATATTTTTCCAAACTTCCTAAGTTAAGTCTTAAAAGTTGGTGGTATTTTCTACTTCTCATGATCAAAATAATTCCAACCACATGTCAGAGGTCTGAACTCTGGGATGGTCAGTTCATTGTTCTGAGAACATCATCAGCTTTTTTGTTTATTTTGCAAATTTTCTTCTTTTTCTCAGTAACATCCTTTCAGACCCCTATCGTTGAGTTGTTTCCTCACAGCAGAAGGATGGAACTGAAAACAAGAGTGGATTCTGATTTTCTCCTCTCTCTCATTAGTGAAAGCTTTAAGTACTGTTTATCTGATGGGGATTGTTTCTGTACCAGGTCTGGCACAGTTGTAAAGTGCCCCAGTTTCATTTTTTTTAATCCAGTTTTGGAAACTACTATTTTTTTGCTTATTTTCCTTTGGGTTATCGAATATTTAATATCCTCAGAAATACTTCCTGAAAAATGAATAACTCATTCTTAATGTCCATTTTGATGAATAAATAAAGGGTGGTCACTGACTTGGGTGGCACGGTGGCACAGTGGGTAGCGCTGTCACCTCACAACAAAAGAATGGCCTGGGTTCGATTCCCGGCCAGGCGACCAGATTCATTTCTGTGTGGAGTTTGCATGTTCTCCCCTGTGTCTGTGTGGGGTTCCTCCCACAGTCCAAAGACATGCTAAATCGCCAATTGGACATGCTAAATTGCCCATAGATGTGTGTGTGAATGTATATGTCTGTCTGCCCCGTGATGGGCTGGTGACCTGTCTGGGGTGTGTCCTGCCTTCTGCCCAATAGAGGCTGGGATGGGCTCCGGCGCCCCACCGTGGCCCAGAAGGATAGATGGTTTAGACTGTGTGTGTGTGTGTGGTCTCTGACTTTTGGACTTAGGTTACTGATAGTACATTGAAGTGCATAAGGTTAATAAACAATTGACACAAATACCTTAAACGTACCTTGCTGTCTTTTTCAGGGTGATTCTGGTGGTCCTCTCATTTGTCAGAAAAGCATGGTGGGGCTGGTGTCAGGGGGAAATGGATGCGGGGATCCTCAAAAACCTGGTGTCTACACTCTTCTCTCCAAGAAACACCTTTTCTGGATCAACACCATACTTAAAAAACAATGAAACAGCACAGCTCTGTACATCTGACCAGCTTCAGAGTGACATATTCAACTCATGCTTCCATGTTTTGGTGATATGCCTTGCGTATACATGATGTTTAGATGCATGCTTTCTGTTTTTCTGTTACAGTTCTTTGCAGAGTGCACTTTTTTCAATATGGAGTTATGTAATGACTAAAGTTTGGGAGGAGGACCAAACCTGAATCTCCTTTTTCTTTTTATCTAACTTCCTACAAATTTCCACCCGTTTCCTATGGTGAAGTTTTCGAACACCACCATTTTCGTATCTCCCCTCTGTTCCTCTGTTCTGTCTCTCATACATCTCAAGGGGGGGTCTTGCCTTCTAGTTCTTAGAGCTCCCTCTCCTCTTATAGTCCCACAGTCTCATCTTACACTATGACTATGTGTCGAAGACCTGATCCGAACCCTCCACAATAGGTTTTTCCTTTACAAGAAAATGTCCTAGTGTAAGTTGATCTTTGTATACTTATGCAGTTTTACCTTACATAAACTGCTGTCCTTCTCAAGTGCTTCATTTTTTTCAGCCCACAGTGTTTTCATTGGTAATTATTGGCAGAATCTGCTATATGTGAAAATTACCATGATAACAGGTTACGCATGAAATATTACAGCCAATTATGTGTCCTTAAAGATAATGCAGGTAATTACTTAGAGACATATCTAGATAATTTGCATAACAACTGCAAATAACTGACAAATAACATTGTCATCTTTATTTAGATTTAGTTTTTAAACAGCAAAAACATTTTTATATATCAAGTGCAATGATTCAGTTTGCCTGGATAAATTCTGCTCTCACAATCCATTCTCACACATCATTTCTCTGCAGTATTTACTGGGCTGAAAACAAGCCGAGCACCCCTGCCGACAGCACACAGCACATATTCAGACCCACAGAGCAGTCAAGTATGTGAAATTTGTAAATGTTTATGCTAGAGTGAAAAATCAAGACTAAAATCCTTCCTGTAATCTGAATACAGAGGCAGGCATTATAATATTATTCTCTTAAATTAGTGTTTGTGACAAATAACCACTTATACATCACAAAAACATTATTTAATGTACAGTGCAAGAATAAAGCAGTGCATCAGAGTGATTCTAAAGTATTTCCTGTCATTAGCACACAGTGAGTTCATGTCCGTAAGAACTCCTGGCATGTGCAGTCTTCTGCTGTCAGAAGTGCTCACTAAGGACTTTAATCAGCCTAAGTGCAGGCGCAGTTCCAGTGTCAATTCAATCACACTGCTATGTGGCCTGCCTGAGTTTCGTATGGTATTTGCCAGGTCTGAAATATAAAGATGGATGGCTTCCAAAAGAATCCCCCAGGTGGTTATCAGGCTATCTTAAAATCAGAGCATTCCAAAGTAGATAAGATGAGGCCGGAGACGTGTCTCAGACTGTGAAGCATAGGCGCATGCCTGAAATGCCATAGCAGATATGACAGGACTGTACCACCCCCTACTGGATAGACAGCAATTAAAATGAATGCAGCGCCTCATAATTGCTCTCTAGGGCTACTCCGAGGTATTCACCATCCGTAAACACTGTGGCTTATTTTCATGTGTTTCATAGAGATCACATTTATTTTTCATTCAAAATTATTCTCCATGCCTGCCTGTCTGTATATCTATCTGTCGTTTTGTCTATCTATCTGTCTGTCTGCATGTCTGCCTGACAAGCTATCAATAAAACAGGAACCTTGAAGAACAAAAACATCAGTATCATCCTCCTCCTCCTTCACATCATCATCACCATCAACAGTATCATCAACAGTATCAGTGATTGGTTCTGTAGTCTGAAAACTTACTGAAACTGCTGGATGTAGTGGAGATTTCCAAGGGAATGTAGTTCTAAAAAACATTCAGGAGCATTCAAATAAATAAATAAATAAATAAATAAATGAATAGGAACATTCTTACTTCAGTCAGAATATTACGTGCAGCATTTATGTACCGACTCTCAAGTGAAGCATTTGAAACAGCTCCTCGACGCTTGTTTTAAAGAATAAACTGCCTTCATTACATCCACCTATTAGTCATGACGCATTCACAGAACCATCTGCTAGACTGTCATAGTCTATGTCTTTACAACATCTTAAGAATAGCATATTTTGGTTTTATCCTCATTTGACACCAGGATAGGGTGCTAGATATGAGGAATATTTTCCACATGTCTTCAAAATATGCTCAATCAATAGGCTTGATAAACTGGAAATTGCAATGCAAGTCACAGCTGTGGTATCTTTTGTTGTCCTTCTAGTCCTTCCAGCTGTTCTCAGAACTACTGGAGAAAGGGTGCATTTCATCCCTTAATTGCATTGTTACTTCATCAGGACCGATGCTTCTGACTCTGTCTGCAATCAACATGGAGACTTCTAAATAAAAATCATCCTTAAATACATCAGTATTGTTATGTGTGGAACGGTTTGTTGCAATCAACATTTAATTGCTGCACATTGTGCTACAGATCAACATTTAATTGCTGCACAGCTGATTTACAAGCTGCACTACCAAAAGGCATATTGACCCACAGTTTATGCTGAAAAACAGGAATGTTTCTGTCCAGTATAAACTGAAAAGTGTATGTCTTTGAACAGAGGAGGGTCTGCCATACTTACGTGATGGTCACATAGAGAGATGAAGATAGACGACTTGGCTGCTATTGACTTCTTTATTCACACACATTTCTGTCTGTACTGACTCTTCTTTAGCAGCAAACCTGGCATTTCCAAACTGATGTTTTCTCTAATGTTACCCTTCTGATAGAAAGGATAAAGTTTTACAGACTGAAAGGGTGTTGTGGAGGGCGTGTATTTGTCTGAAAGGATTGTGGAAAGCAGCTCAAAAGTTCTCTTCACTTACAGTGAAGATTGTTCAACAGCACAGTGTGAGGCAATGACAGACTAAGGGATTTAGAAGTTCTACTGCTATTGCCTATGACACTGAGTTTTACCTCACTCTTTTATGGAGAGTTAAACTCCACCCTGTGAATTATTGAAAATTTCCATCCGTATTGCTACTCCAAATGCATACTAAGGAAGATTCAAGTGTCATTTTTACCTAAAGCAGGTTTGAAGAGAAACTGACCTTAATTTATTTATTGTTAAAGGTTCAGGGAGTAGCCAAAAGTGGATACATGCTGAGACTGATTTTGACAAGGCAAAGTGTGATGTCGAATGTCCACTCTATACTTTATGCTGTCAGTTTAGGGACAGTGAAATATGTGAAAATGACTTATTTTTCAGTTGTGATGCTACAAAGATGTTTTAAATCAGCTTAACAAAACTTAACAAAAAAATCTAAAAAATGTTCAGGTTGTATAAACTTTTTTCATACCAGGCGTTACTTATTCTTAGAAATTGTTACACAGCGGTTGATTATTAGTGCTGTCTAGAATTTTATTCGTTTATTTAGGCAGGTTATATAGAAGGAAAATCTTCACCATATTGTGGTGCCTATAGCTCTTAGCTTTGTTTTCACGGATTATCAGATGTCTTTTCAGCAAAATATGCATGTTGCTGATAGATCTGCCATCTCATTTCATCTACACTACATGTCCAAAATTTATAGACACCAGCTCATGAAATGTTTTTCTGAAATCATGGGTAATAATGAAGAGTTTGTACCCCTTTGCTGCAGTAACAGCCTCTACTGTTCTGGGATGTTGGAACATTGCTTTGAATATATGATTGCATTTAGCTACAAGAGCATTAGTGAGGTCAGGTACTGATGTTGGACATTGAATGGGTGGTTCTAGACACCCATTCAACGTTTCTTCCAAAATCAAGCATATTAATAGGGAGTCATTTCTTTGTTGCAGTAACGGCCTCTCATCTTCTGGGAAGGCTTTACACTAGTTGTTGGAACATTGCTGTGAAGATTTGATAGCCTTTGGCCACAAGAGCATTAGTCAGGTCAGGTACTGATGTTGGATGCTTAGTTCTGGATTACAAACGCAACTCCAGCTCATCCCAAAGGTATTGAATCATGTTCCATCACTCCAGAAAGAGCTAGGTAGGTTCACTCCTCTCTTTCCGCCTCTTGGCATTGGACATGGTGACCACATTGCTCATGTGTGATTAGACCATCCAATTCTGTTGGATTCTATTAAATTATACAGATGCTATACGTGGATACCTGTGTCAACAAAGTTGCTGAAGTCACCATTTAGAAAGTGTGTCTGATATTTTTGCACAGATGTTGTATTTTTTACTGGGATGCCCCTGCTGAAAACAATCATAGAAACCATTAAAAGTTTCTGTTGTTTTCTGGTAGCGTTTAGTATTCACTAATGGTATCCTGTGTTTTCATGATGGGTTGATATCACAGTGTAAAGGACTGATTTAAGTTAGGTGCATCTAATGGTTTTCTGATGGGATCTAAATGTCACCTGCAGGAAACTAGTGGTCTCTAACGGTAACCATTAGTGTAACTCTCATTAGAAGGTAAAACCACCAGGTTTTTAATCCTAATGGTTCAAATGGTCTTTTAAAGCAGGGTTTGCAGTCAAGCAACAGTAGCCTAATCGCACTCGTGGGATGTATCCACCCTGCGGCGCCCTTTGCTAACACTGCTAGCGTTTCTACTGTCCTGCAGGCCTGCAGCGAGTTCATTGCGAGCCCTCAACACTTGGTCCACCAACTGGGCGATTACAGCTAAAAAGCTCCCCAAGTTCAGTCCCCTTTTTAAGCACCATAGTACTGTAAAAATACGTTATATATACAGCAGCAATAAGCAAGGAACGTTTTATTTCAGATTTGAATAAGATCAGTTGCTGTTAGCGCTATTGTTTTGCCCACCCGTAATCCGTCAAATCCCGCTTCCAGGGCTGGGATTGGCTAGCAAGGCTCGTGAGTATGAACTATTATCCAATAATAACGCAGGAGGCGGGACTTGTCAAAAGAGCTCGTAATCACATGGAAGGTGATGTCATTTTCTCTCCGCTCTGCGACCAATCAGGCAGAGCGAGCGCCTTCGCTCAGAGTGGTGGGAAGTTTGATTCAGTTTTCCGAGCCGATTCTTTCGAACTGAATCGAACGTCGGATTCAACGATTCATTTTCGTTTCGGGCCACAGAAATAAGTCAGCTTTGCTCTGGTCTTATTCATATATATGCGAGAGAGTCTAATGCTCGCTTTTGTCACTCACGAAGAGAATCAAACTCGTCTTTCTATAGGCTGGGTCTGTGATACACAAAGAAAACAGTATGAGAAAGTTATATACGAAGAGAAAACATATCGCAATGTGGTATTTTATGTGATGACCTCTGAAAGTTTATTACTGGAATTGCACTGCACACTGCAAAATGAGTTCGATTCAGTTGGACAGATTAATCAGTTCCGATTCCGGTTTAAAAGAACCGATTCATGCACGAGTCGGACCTCGGCCGTCTGAATGGGGTCTTGTCGGTGAACAGCAAGGCTGTCGGTACAAGCGCTTTCTGTCTTAATTAGCTTTGTCGGTCGCGCATTCCCTAACATTTCGCAGTCGAACAGCCACACTGGTATTACCCGCGATGTGAAGTGCTTTACTGCTCTCTACAGGCAACATTTCGTTCAACTTTTTTGCCGCTCAACTTTCTGGTGAAAGTGGGTAAGTGTTCAATAATCTAGTGAAAGAACTCCTCTCCTGTGTCTCCCCTGTGAATTGTTTCACGAATGCGAAGCATCTTGTTAGCAGTAGACTTGGGGCGGCTTTGCCTAGGCGACGGCATGGAAGTCTGCTTAGTGGAAAACCGTGAATTTAAATATTGTTTACATTTACTGTTACCATTCTTGTTGGCTGTTTTACAATACAAACTTATCCTCGTTCATGAGCGCTGTTGGCGAAAAAGCCGTTGTTTGCGTTTCTTATCTGAGCGGTTGGTGTTAGCCAAGCTAGCCCGAGTAACTTGCTCTGAATGGCCGAGCTGAACTTTTCCCTTTTCCCGCTGGAGTTCACTCCTCAGCAGCAGCAGCAGCGGCAGATTGCGTCCACGGAGTATCAGTGACTTGTGCTAACTTGCTAACAGTGCCAGCGCCTCTCAATGGCTCTGTGCCCTGTTTCACACACATACTGATAAAATGACGAAATTCTGTAACGTTTACAAAACTTTGCGAAAATGGAAACGTTTTATATAGAATGTTATGGACTTTTTATACAGACTACTGTGTGAGATTTGACTGCCACTTCCATTGGATGATGAACAATGGACGAAGGCCTGTTCACCCTCTCAAGTAGTAGATGTTGGATTATTATGGGACAATTATTAATAACCTCTTCCTGTACTTTTGAAAGTTTTAGTATAATAAGGCAATCTGGTTTTGTATGTGTTTTATTCAGATCTGCCTGGACCTGTTGGAATCTGCATGGAAAAACATGAAAAGCCTAAAAGCAAAGTTCAGGAAGAGTGATGTAAGTATATTTGAGCTCAGCTCAGTGTTGGGTGTGAGGAGGAGTTCATGTGATGTATTTGTGCAGCTGTATGGGGACAGTGAAACAAGATGAAGCTTAGACTTTTAAAGCAAACTAATGGGATATTGCAAATGAAACTGGGCCCTTATTTGCATGCTTTTTTGCTTTTAGGCAGTGTTGTATCTGCTTTTCTTTCTGTTTGTCTGTTTGTTTCTGTGAGTCCTGCAGGGATGCTGCTGTTGGGTGGACTTTGTGTAACTGAGTGGAATGAATGTCTTTGGTGATGTTTGGCATGAGTGATGCACAAAAGTAGTAAATCCTACATCTGTACACCTCTATTTGGCTCACCAGAAGGAAACGTTTGATTTGTGTTTTTGGTTTTGTCCTTTTGTCCTCTTTTCTAGTTTTGAAGGTTGATTCCAGGCTGTCTTCAGCCTGGGAATTTAGACCGCCAAGACACTGATCACTTTAGGCCTGTACTACATTGTTGGACTTGCGATTCCCCTTTTGTTACAAAACTAGTCAGTGCATTTTCAGATTTGGTCTTCGTGCAAACTTAATGTAATTTCCCAAAAATGTTGTGATGCTCACAATTTAAGGGGACATCATGCATTTTTTATATTTTATTTTCCTTCCTAGAGCCTCAACCATCCCAGTACATTTTTACATCACCATTTTCAACATCTTTTTATTTCTTAGATTTAAGTGTAAACTGTAAACTTTTAACGTTTTAACAACGCTTTAGCAAAGTGGGGACTTTATTGCTGCCCCTATATTCCTATACTTGCATAAATTAATTCAAATATGCATTCATGCATATTCATATGTATTTATATGCTGTGATAAACATTCATTAGCAAACTTGAATTCAGTGTTGAAGTGTGTCATGTAATGTCTTCTTATAAAATTATGAACCTGCCTCCTGCTGTAGAACAATTTTGAGACAGATGTGTCATAACTGAGTCATGACTGGGAGTGACTTTTCTCCGTTGGGAAATTCTGCCCTCCTAAAAGGGGAAAAATCTGAAGAGGAAGTGACTGGCTGCCACTGCGTGTGATTCAGCAGTCATTTCAGAAACCATAATGGAGGGTCATCACTCGCAGTCTACTGTGGAGGAATTTCTTGGGCTGGGTATAAATGCATTTATAAGCAGTTGTTTAGATGCTCATAAATGCCAGCGCATCACCATTTGGGCTTAGTCGAAGTGTAAAGAGTGTTGTGAGATTCTCTGCGTGATTATCAAACCACAGCACCAAGTAAAGCTTCTGCCTGCTTCGGCAGGCTAGCTGCGCAACATTACAGTTAGGGAAAATGTGTTTCAACCGAATGTTAAAGGTGGAGTCATAAGCCCAGACGCCACATCTGTTGTTCTGTAGCTATTTATTTACTTACTTACACCCTGGTGGTGGTTGAGCAGTCATTGAAAGTGAGTTTAGATTCTGATGTGCATTGTCTTTTGGTCAAAGACTGTGCCGGAGTGGCTGCAGATGACGTGTTTCCATTGTGCCATTCACTGGGACATTGTATGAAGTAAAGCACCATGGTGCAGTCAGTGCATGCATAAAAGGAGCAATTGGAACTTAAAAATCATCACATGTTACTTGAGACAGTCTAGTCAAGCAAGAATGTATTTGCTTACAATTGGAAATAGTACTTTTTAAGTTTTGGGGGAGCACCAAATGGGAACTCTGGGCCAATGCTAGTATTTCTTATATACATTTCAATGCTAAAACCTCCTGGATTAATGAGACTTTTATTTGTAGAGGGTTACAAATGCAAAATTAGCATAGTAGCCCATCATCACATTCTGCTCTTCAAGAAAACTGATGCATCATCAGATAAAATATTGAAATGTTGATCTAATCTGATCATCTGTCTAGTGCTGCTGATTATTATTTTTCTTGCAATGTTTGTGCGAACAGTGATTCTGATATCCATGCGCATTCCTGTCTTTTTAAGGGGCAGTTTTTGCCCTCATTGGCTGAGATTCAGACTACACTTTTCTGAGTATATCATCTGTACTTAAAGAGCACCAGCTACATATTTCATTACAAAGAGAGCATTATTTGTCCTGTTTAATTGGATATAATGTAATATACTATGCATAATATTGAAAGTACTTATCTTTTTTTTAATAGCAGTTTAAAAAATGTGCCAGCACTGTTACGTTGGTTGGTTCCAACTTAACAAACCTTAGAAAAATGAAATATTGTGGTGCATATCATACATCGTGAAAATGTCCTCAATGATCTTGATGAGATTTTTGCCTTATCGCCCACCCTTGTATCTTACTTCCCCAGAGTCTAGTTCAGAGATGCCCGACTTCAGTTCTGGAGGCGTGTAACAGTTCAGTTTTTTGTCTGCTATAATACACATGATTCAGCTCATGATTAGTTGATGTGTTGAATGTGTCAGCTGGGAAAACGCTGAATTGTGCAGTGCGATGCTTGCATGCAAAATGCCCTGTGGCTACAGTAGAGTATATTAGTGGTTGGTACATTATCAGGTCAAGATATTATGAGTGTGCTTCCCTTTTTGATTTTGAACTAGGCATTGAAATCTATGTTAACATACAGATGTTGTTATTAAAGTCTAGACTTGTCCGCAGAAGATAGAAGACATCTTTTGATTATTTGAATAAATTCTTTGTAGCTATTTGTGTCACAGCATGTGTTCTTCAAACAATGGCTCACAGTCTGAAAACTATGCCAGGCTATAATAAAAAAATGAGCTCACACAATGTAGTGTTTAGCTACTGACACTGGGAGGTAAACAACAGGCTTATTGTAAAGGTTGTACTTGAATGGGTAAGTAGAGTGCACTTTACAAGAGACGTTTTTCTTTTTATTTGAAATGCAGATTAAGCAATCATATTAGCAAAACCATGTTCAGGGCTGGGAAATAACAGAATTCACCATGTAGTGGACTCATGATGATGGATCGTTTAATGCATTCATATTGCTAATGCTTGATGGGAACTTACAGTAATTTCAGAACTCAGGTCTTCTTTTACCCTTTTGCTTTTCTGTTAACCTTGTGAACAGTGGTAGGAAACACTGATGTCGCACTACACAACCGTTCATAAATTTTAAATCACTGTTTTCAAAGAAAAAAAATGTTGCAGGTGGATGTATAAAATGAATCTAATATGTTCCTAATATTTGGTAGGTTTCAAACAGTTCGTAGGAAGCTGTAAATAAATTAAGAATTTTTTGATGATTGAGAGAGCTCTATAGTACTGACATTGTAGTTATACTAAAACAACATCCCAAATGTCTCATATTTGAGAAGTGGTGACCAAATCTTGTTACTTAAATACCTAGTTAAAATGATTTGTTTTATGTAGAATTTACTTTAAATAGATTGTTACAGTTTATTATTTAAAAACTAATCAAAATTCTTTGTGATGTGAAGTTAGTGTGTAGTTTTGGTTTCTAACCATTCAAAATATGTAATTGTTATAATGGTTATTCAATTATATGACAAGTGATTCCAGACTTAGTAATAGCAGTAATTATGATATTTTAGTCATTCACACCTTTACTCAGAAATATGGGGGAAACTGTGGTAAAATGGTTCATCTTTAGTCTTTAGCTGCAGAGTCATATTGTGTGGAACAGATTTTTCTTGTAGTGGTACCATAACAGCTTGGTTGCTGGGAAACAATCTAACAGGTTTAGAAATAAATCCACCCACGACACTGTTATCTAGATAGTGGTGTTACAAAACCTATGTATGTATGTCAAGCTGAGATCTGATTGGAGGATCTCTGATCTACTTTTGGTCATTGTGTCTGATGTCCTGTCTTTATAGAAAGGATTCTAAAAATATGACCTATGAACTATAAAGTAAAGACATAAACAATTTTAATCAGTTTTTTTGTTTCCTAAGTTTCAGCCAAAGTTCAGAATCTGTTACATGAAACTAAAATCAGTTTGAACCGCTTCTTAATAAGTCATCTTGGGAGCTATGGAATAAAATATTTCTTACAAAACAAATGCTGTGGTCTCAGTATAAAAACATACCATGGTTGAATCTGCATTGTTTATCCGCTTTGGTAAAGTGTCTGTCTTTGCCATCTTACCGTGCATTGACGATTAAAAGCCTCATTTTTGTGCTGTGTGGTCCAGGACATACTTTGGAAAAAGAATAATGAAGATCAAGAGAAAGGAAAATATCCTCTTGATTATATTTTAGGTTTTGTGTCAGTCCAAAATTGTTCAGGAATGTCTTTTAGGGCCAGATGTTCATTCTTGGGCAAAATGGGAGATTAGGAAAGCCAATGTAAATACTTGAGAGCAGACAGTCGCCAAGTACATCTTGTAATGCTAATTTTATTGTAGTGAATTTTACATGTTGCGTTCACATCAAGCATATATTACTACAACAAGAAAAGAGCTGTCTTTAGATCTGTTGCTATTTGGCAGCTTGTTGAAGTGGATCCTCTTCCAGTGTCTCAGCTTCTGGCACAGAGTGGTTTAGGATGGAGCTTCTCATGCCTAGTGCTTTGTGAAGTTAAAAACATGAATTTAAAATATGGTGAATTATAAATCTCTGTGGGCTGCATCCTGACCTGCATGTCTGAAATGGCCAGTAAGTGAGAAGTGTAGCTTCTGCACACATCTCAAATGCAGAGACTTTCCAGAATGTGTGTTTGGGTAGTAATATGAGAAGTGTTTATTTTGCTGTACATGAACTCTCTTGTGGGTCATGTGTCCAAAGAGTGTTTGCTGTGGTATTTGAGAGAATGTCTGAAAGCCTCAGCTTCTACTCAGTGGTTTTTACATGCTTCCATACCAGGTGCCAGACAGCAGCTGACAGGCATAGGAAATGTAGGAGAGTGACAGTACAGCCCAGACTCTCATTCATTTAGCTGTGAATTTGGAATCTGTTCAAATTGAAGAGAAGAAGCAGTTTCTAATCATTTTTATGTCCTTCTGTTACATTTTGTAATAAATTTTTAAGATGCTTAAGTAAACCTCTTTTTGTATGTGAGCAG